CCTGACTCTGAAGAAATGAATCTGAGTGTGAGTGAGCTTGTGTATGAGTGAGTCTGGTGCGAGTCTGAATCCCAATGGTGCCCCTGGCAGTGTCTGGCGACTAGGAGGCCCGGGTCGACTCCTCTTTGGGGAGCCAAAATGCTGCCCCTGGCAGCGTTTGGTGACTATGAAGCCCCTGGTGGAACCCCCCTGGGGCTCCCAAATGATGCCCCTGGCAGCGTTTTGCGACCATGAGGCTCTCAAGAGAGACATGTTGGGGAGGCCAAACGGCAATTTTAGCTGAGACGTCCCACCAAAATCGGCGCGAAAAGGCTCGTGAGATCAGCCAGGGTGGCTCCCCCTTGGGGCTCCCAAATGATGCCCCTGGCAGCGTTTTGTGACCATGAGGCTCTCAAGAGAGACACGCTGGGGAGGCCAAACGGCAATTTTAGTTGAGACGTCCCACCAAAATCGGCGCGAACGGGCTCGTGAGATCAGCCAGGGTGGCTCCCCCTTGGGGCTCCCAAATGATGCCCCTGGCAGCGTTTTGTGACCATGAGGCTCTCAAGAGAGACATGTTGGGGAGGCCAAACGGCAATTTAGCTGAGACGTCCCACCAAAATCGGCGCGAACGGGCTCGTGAGATCAGCCAGGGTGGCTCCCCCTTGGGGCTCCCAAATGATGCCCCTGGCAGCGTTTTGCGACCATGAGGCTCTCAAGAGATACATGTTGGGGGCGCCAAACGGCAATTCTAGCTGAGACGTCCCACCAAAATCGGCGCGAACGGGCTCGTGAGATCAGCCAGGGTGGCTCCCCCTTGGGGCTCCCAAATGATGCCCCTGGCAGCGTTTTGTGACCATGAGGCTCTCAAGAGGCTCTCAAGAGATACATGTTGGGGGCGCCAAACGGCAATTCTAGCTGAGACGCTCGGCGCGAACGGGCTCGTGAGATCAGCCAGGGTGGCTCCCCCTTGGGGCTCCCAAATGATGCCCCTGGCAGCGTTTTGTGACCATGAGGCTCTCAAGAGAGACATGTTGGGGAGGCCAAACGGCAATTTTAGCTGAGACGTCCCACCAAAATCGGCGCGAACGGGCTCGTGAGATCAGCCAGGGTGGCTCCCCCTTGGGGCTCCCAAATGATGCCCCTGGCAGCGTTTTGTGACCATGAGGCTCTCAAGAGAGACATGTTGGGGAGGCCAAACGGCAATTTTAGCTGAGACGTCCCACCAAAATCGGCGCGAACGGGCTCGTGAGATCAGCCAGGGTGGCTCCCCTTGGGGCTCCCAAATGATGCCCCTGGCAGCGTTTTGTGATCATGAGAGAGTGTGAGTGTGAGTGAATGTGACTGTGAGTGAGTCTGAGTGAGAGTGAGTCTCATCTTATCTTATCGAGTCCTATCTTATCTTACCTTTATTACCCTCTATCATATTTTATAGTGAGAAATATCTTATCTTGTCTTAGCTTATCTTATATCAACTCATCTTATCGCATCATATCTTGTCTTATCTTATTACTCCATAGGCTGTCGTATAGTATATATTATCCTACCTTGTCATATATCTTATATTACCTTATCATATATTGTGCTATATTATCTTATCTTGTAGTATCTTATCTTGTCTTGTCTTATCTGGTGATTATCATTGGGAGGAGGGAGGCGCGAGCGGGAGGAAGAAGGAGGAGGAGGAGTGGGAGGCGTCAGAGTAATAACAAGAACCCCAATCCTTAGGATATGGGGAAAAATGAGCCGATCGCCCGCCCAGGCCTCGAGGTCCCCCCCGCTGAAGCGAGCGATGATGCATTGCCACGCTGGGAAAGCATCCGGAACAAGGCGCATGGCGCGAAGCGCCAATGCAGTATTGTGCGTTTTATATATAATGTGTGTATACATGAGCGTATCTCAATGTAGTTACGCATGTATGTGCATATATAATTATATGTTCACACAAACACAGGTGCATATATATACATAGATATAGATGTGTGTATATATACGTACACATGCATATACATGTATACATATGTATACATATATACCTACACATATGCATACCTGCATGAATACATGCATACAATTCTACATACATGCATACACACAAACATACATACATACATACATACATACATACATACATACATACATACATACATACATGCTTACATACGTACGCACATCTGTACATACATATACACATGCATATACAAATGCATATGTACCAGAGTAGGGCGGGGAAGGACCCGGAACCGGCACCACCAGTTTGCATGGGGGTCCGGGGGCGGGGCCTCCTGTGCTCCAAAAGGAGCCCCGGACCCCCCTGAGGCCCCAAGTTGGCCCAAGAGATTCCCAAAGCGCCCCAGAAGATGGCTGAAGCGCGCACTGAGATGGCCTCCAGACAGGCCACGAACGTTCGAAGACAGCCCAAGATTGCTCCTAGACGGCCACAAATGCATCCGACACGGTCCAAGAGGCCGCCGAGAAGGCTTCCCAAGGGCAAAATACAAGCATTTCCTATGGAAGAGCGCGCATTTGTGGGATATTCGCTTCTCAGTCCTAACAGCGGCCGCGACGGCCCCAGAGGCCCCCAAAATGGACCCCAGACGGCCCGAAAGGCCCCCAAGAGGGCCCCGCGACGGCTTGAAGAAAGCTTCAAGCAGCACAAGAGAGCTCCAAGATGGCTCGAGACAGCCCTCGGCGGCCCCGAGGGGCCCACCAGAGGATCCCCACGCGGTCGGAGAGGGCCCCAAGAGGGCCCCTAGACAGGCTCAGCTCCCCACGGCGCGCCGAGAGGGACCTGGGACGGCCGAAATGCACCCTTAGACGGGCCAACAACAAAAATCCACGAGGATTTTTTCAAGACGGCCCAAGAGGCCGCCGAGAAGGCCCCCCGAGCCCCGCCCGCCAAGGCTGCGGCGGTCGAGGAGCGGGCCCGCCACACCCGAGGAGGTCAAACCGCCTTCGCTCGGAGGAGATACCGGCCACGGCCATTACCCGCCAGGCGAGGACGACACCAGGAAGGAGGTTGAGCCGAGCCCCTTCCGCATCGAACCGCCTGCCCCCATGCCGGAGAGCCGGACGGTGGCACCCGCCCCGCTGTTGAGCGGCCACGCCATCGGCTTTGCTGCCCGCCGCC